AAGCCTTGGAGGCCGCCATACTCCTGGTCGAGTGCGCTCTGACCCCCATAGGTGACGGGAGGCCAGAGGACTCGTAGGCTAGTGAGATGGCCTCGACCACCCACCTACTCATAGTCTGCTTGGTTGCCGGAAATCCCTTCTTTGGCGGACCAAAAACAAACAAAAAGCTGATCTGCCTTACGCCACAGGGCAGCTCTGTGTGCGCAAGCATCCAGTGCTCGAACTGGAGAGAGTAGATTAAGCCTTTCTTGGCCTACTTCCTGGTACGGAGGAGGACAGAATGCCTGAAGTACTATGGGCCCTGGTAAAGAAGTGGGCACCTCACGGACAAGCACATGATGCCCCCTTAGGTCTGGAAGGAAGTGTGTCAGAGCTCGAAACACGGCCAGCATTTCCCGGCAGTTGATGTGCCAAAAGAGATGATGGCCTTCCCACAGACCCTGGGCAGAGCGGCCACTCATGATTTAATGAATTAAATATGAATTAAATAAACTCATGAATTAAATAAACAACAATGAAGGTTTTTTGACAGTACATTGAAGCTTTGAAAATAACTATAAATAAACTATATATCAATCGCTGCATTTCCCCCCCCAGAAAGATGCAGTGTTAACCCTAACATTTTATTTTAAGATTTAACATTTGTATATGGTCTAAAGCAAAAGAGTTGTAAACATTCTGAAAATCTTTTAGAGCTTATGATTTGTTTAAAAAATATAACATTAAATCAAAACATACTCATTACTTTATGGCATCAATTACTGCTTTATTTAATCAGAAACACTAGAAAGGAGTCTAAATCAGGGGTTAGCAAGTAAGTTTGGCATCGGGCCAAACACATTTTTCACCACTAGTTGGTGGGCCAGAACATAGTCAAAGGATAATTACAAAAATTAATTGATGAAAAATGCAACTAGAATTGCCTGTGACACAGTGTCTTTTGTAACTGGTAGTGAGCTGTTACTCTGTGTTAAATCCTGTAGGAGGACAGTCATTAACAAAAAGCCACATTTGTGTGGTGGTGTCCGGCAGAGTATGTGAGCGGAGTGGAGTGTCAACTATTTCCCCTCCGCGCTCCGAGCATTTACAGTATATTCACTCCGTTCCGGGTTCACCATTTCCCGCTCCAGTCCTCGCAGAAACACCGCTCTGCGGCTAAAGTATTTTAGTATGTTTGAAATATCACAGTTCTGTTCATAACGTATATTAAAAATTGTAATAAATAAAATAACAGCAGAGTTTCTAAGTGGCTTATTAGAACACTAGTGTTCAAACTTTTTCCTACCACATGACAAGCTAATAACATGGTTGTCAGCAATAAAAGGTATAATTGCTGCTTTTCACGGTGCAAATTTTCTTTGAAGGTATTCTGTTGCACCAAAATACACAAAATAATGATCTTTAAAAAAGCATCATATGACCCCTTTAATGTAGTGTAATGTGTACATGTTCATGTTAGTTCAGAGTGCGTTGGTTAATGTTAACGGATACAACTTTTAATCTTAAAAAATGTATTAGTTGATGTTGAAATTAAAATGAACTAACCTTAACAAATTGTGTTAGTTCATGCTAACTAATGTTAACAAATGTTGTAAAGTGTAAACGAAATGTGTCTTTATTTGGGGTGAGCGACGAGTCGTAAACAGCAGGGGGCAGTAAAGTTCTTTACAAACTGAAACTGTACACAATCTTCCTTTCTTTAATTACTGGATTAATTACTTATTAATCTGACTTTACCCCCCAGCAGTGAATGACCTATCAAAATTATTATTGCATATTCATTTTTCAGTTCATTACTCTGTTATCATAAACGTTACATATTGACAAAATATGAGATTTGTGAATGTATTTCTTCATTTTAAATATATAACAACAACATCATGGAGAGAAAAATACAACATAAATGAAATAAAATAAAAAAATAGATCAAAAATAAAATATGCAAAATAAATCATGAGTAAAAGCAAGTCCAGGCATTATGACGTATCGAGGTGGGCTTTCTATAATTCCTATTGGCCAGGATTTACGTCAATCATGTAGCTCGCCAAAACAACAACTAATCAAAACGGCGTGAATGACACTCAACTAGGAAGTGTGTGTTACCTAACGACCATTGCCGGTGTAAACATACTAACTTACTTGTAAAATGTCGCGCGAAAAGAGTGTTAAAGTGAAAGAAGTTATTACTTCTCTCTGTAAGTTGCTATCTGCATTAAGCGTCGAGTCAATTCCGACAGCTGAGGCATTCAGGAGAGCTAAATTCAACAGAAAAGATGCGGTAAGATGATCATTGTAACGTTACCTTAGTACTCTCATGGTACCACTTCTCCCTCCCTCTCTCCCTCTCTAATTTGATAGATAAGTCATCATTAACTAGATTATTTCTACTTTGTGTGCTCAATATTTGTTTTGCTTTCAGGCAGTGGACATGTGGAGTTTGTTAAGTAGGCTTCTGCAGAGAGCTTTTGCTCTGGATTGTGCGTGCCGCGACTCTAAAGACCAAGATTTTGGTAAATTGATCATTGCATATAACTGCAGTCCATGTGTAATGCGTTATCGTTTGTATAACCCACAGTGCTGTGCTTGCAGATGTGCAGCTGCTGTTTGTGAGGAGTGCTCTGTGTCACTGTGGCTATGGGGCCCCTTGGGTGGTGGGGTCCCGGCCCCCCAGTCACATGGAAGAGGTGGGGAGCGGAGATCTGCTCTTGGCATTCGGCTGGGTGCTGTCATCAGGGAATCTACTGGACTACCTGCTGGCTGAGAAGGTTCATCAATTAGATACTCTCTCATCTGCACCAACGGTGAGACATTGAGTTTTGGTTATCCAAGCAAGGAACAGATTATTAATTTGATCACTTGCTTTCCTCTATTGATGTCAAGTGTTATTCTGTGTAAGGCCAGCAGAGAGCAGGATAACTTTATTTTATGCACAATTTGTGCACATGGTCAGAACGTTGAATTTCTACTACTTATTCTTATTAAAAATAATAAAAAAATCCTATCAGCATCCTCTCAAGAACATTACACAAGATACTAAATGGTTAACTTGTTGTTCCATTTGCTCTTGGCTGACTAATCTAATTGACTTTCTAATAAAAAGCAATCAGGAATTAAACAATAAATAAAATCCTGTTTGCTTTTAGGATCAATTTTAACGCTGTTTCACTCTTTTTGAAAGTCTAATTGGTTAAATCCTTCAACTTTAGTCTAATGGAGGCTTTCGAAGTGTCGGTTTCATCTGTTTCAGTAGTGGTGCTTGCTAAGACAAGCATCACTGTTACTCATACCTAAGAATAATAATTATAATATACATTAAATCAGCATGTAACTCATCCTACGCTGTTTGTTCTACAGTCATGAGTAATATCCCAAGTGCTTTGTGTTGAGGAGAAGTGTGCTATTATGATTTGAAGCATTCTAACTTAGAATTTGTGCCTGGTTGATGATAAAAGAGTGAAAAAAATACCCATAGGCTTACTTTAAAGGATTGACCCAAGTCATATCTAGGAACCAGAATATCAGAGACTTAAAGGTGGGCTCTTTTGTTTGGAGCAAGTACGCTATAATCGACACAGAACACCACAGCAATAACATAGCAACACCCTGGCAATCATTGTGTTTAGTTTCTGGTTTCACATCTCTTCTATTCATCTTATGTATTTTATGTGTATATATATATATATAATTTGTCTTATGTGCCGTCATAACCTATCATTAAAGAAATGTGTCCCTTCTAGTTCTAGTTTTTGTTAGTATATATTAGTATCATTAATGTTAATAAGGATTTTATTAACTCTAATAATATTGATATATGTATCATTAGCATTAATAAAATCCTTACTGGCCCCATTATAACAAAAAGAAGCAAACTCTGAAGTAGGTTGAATAATACAGAATCTGTTATTTAATACGCGCATTTATATATTTTTAATAGGACAGAGTATTGCATCGTTCATGTAGAAAGGATGCATTAAATTGATCAAAATTGACAAAGACATTTCAAATAAATGCTCCTCTTTTGAACTGTATTTTCATCAGGGAAACCTGAAAAAATGCATCAATGTTTCTCGAACACTAGTTCAGTATATTAGAATGATTTCTGAAAGATCATTTGACACTGTTGAAAATTCAGCTTTGCCATTACAGGAATAAATTAGCCTACATATTAAAATAGAAAACAAAAATTCAATTATAATATTATTTTACAAAGTAAGTTTTTCTGTATTGTTGATCAAATAAATGTAGCCTTGGTGAGCATAAAAAAATTCTTTCAAAAACAATAAAACATTTTTATGACCCCAAACTTTTGAAAGGTAATTTAATATACTGCTATGATTGCCATCCAAACAATCACTTAACATATTTTTTCCCTAAATAGTTAAATTAATCATGTGTTAAGCTGTTAATTACAAAAAAGATCAAAACATTATTATTTGTTCAAGGCAACAGCCGTAAGTAGCAATTCCTGTTTTATGGGTTTAACAAAGCAAAATCAAAATCTCCCCTGGAACCAGCTTGGGGTTCATGCCTCCCCTGGGGTTAAATCATAAAACCTTAATCTACTGAAGGATTCCTTTATCTTTACTTTTGTATTGTAGGGTTTGTACTATTTCCAGATGTTGTTTCAATATTAATAGAATGATGCTTGATGGCTACTGTAATGATTTTTTATGTCACATTTGTGAACATACAAGATCGCCCAGGGTCCAACACCAGGACAGCTTGACGTAGTGGCACATGGACCAGGAGCAGATACCACAATGAAGAAGGACCATGTACTACAGGCACTGCAGTGGCAATATGGGAAACTGAGGCTCCAGTGGAAGAGCTTACTCTCAGCCCAGGAGGAGAGGTCCAAATTCACCCATAGGGCAAGTCACTAAAAATATAATCTAAAATAATGATGAAAACAGCAGATTCCGATGTAAATGCAGAAATGTAGTAATATCCTGTGTTTTCTTTCTCTAGGTTATCTCCCATATCAGCCCCTCTGCTGTCTGTCAGCCTCATGCCACTGGTTCCCATCACAGCAACACGACATCAACTGCTCTTGACAAGGTGACATGAAAATGCTTGAACATTTTAATGATTTATTGGCATGAGATCATGTAGGTCTCAGGATTTCTGCATTAAAAACTGGGCAAGCGTTATGAGTTCAGCCCCTGATCATTGTTATTACATGACAAGTGACGCCTTTACTCATTTAGATTCTCTCCAGAGATTTCTTGTTGCATTTGTATTCCTTTGGTGTATGGTAAGTGCTTCTATCCGTCATCAGAGCATATGGTGATCAGCGCTCGATAATAACTGCCGTAAGCTAGGTAACAAGCTCATTTCAATCGGCGAATGATTGCACGCAGCTGTCGATGTGTTTTTCATCCCCTGGCTTATTCTGGAGAAGCTTGTAATGAAGCATCCACCTCTTATGTACCTGCCTCCCCGTACTTTGGTGTGACAGATTGACAAGGTGGGAAATCCTGCTTGTTTGAAGAGTGTGGATCTTGATCTTTAAAGTCAAAAGGCCCACGCTCTCCTGTTCCCTTCCTCTTTCCCTTGCTCTTTAGAGGCTTTGTAATAGTATTTTATCTGTGGGAAAAAAGTCTCCCTCCTGACATCTAACGACGGGGCTGTTTTTGTCAGGTAGGTTGTTTAGTGTATAAAAAAAGTGTGAAAAGAACAAGTGGTATATAGAGAAAGTGGATGAAAGATTCACTTTCATGAGAGATTATGAGTGCTTTTTAGGTCCTGTATTATTTTTTCCTAACAAAGAAATTATTTTGAACAGTCATTGTGGTCAGTACATTGAAAATGTTTAGTTCAAGATGTAAAATACAGTAAAAACCTACTTCTAATCTAGTAAACCCAGTCATGGTATGTTTTCCAGTTATTTGCTACATAAACACAGCAAGGATGCATTAAATTGATCTAAAATGACAATATATTTATAACATTTATAATTCAAATAAATTTCTATTTCAAATAAATGCTGTTCTTTTTAAACTTTATATTCATCTAAGAAATAAAAAAAATTGAACAATAATGTTTTTGACATTAATAACAATAAATGTTTCTTGAGCACCAAATCACTACACTGTAAAGGGGGAGATGGCTGCTGAAAATTTTGTATTTTAAAAGATTAATATTTAAAATATTAAACTAGAAACCAGGTATTTTAAAATGTAATAACATTTCACTATATTATTGGTTTTGCCATGTTTTGTGCAAATAAATGCAGTCTTATCAACCCCAAACCTTTGAATGGTAGTGTATAGTTATAAATTAAAATTGTTAAATGGCAAGTTTATAATTATATGTGTAATAATAATATATATATATATATATATATATATATATATTTAAATGAAACTCATTTAACAAAAAGTGATTACGCAGGCGACATGTTGAATCAGCATTTTAATTGATTAATGGGAATGGATGGTTATAAGAACTTGTTTGTGTAGTTGATTAAAGCTCATGCCATTTTATTCCCACGCTCATGAATAGTGATGGAGCGGGCACGAAATTGGCCAACTAACACATCATTTGGCAACTTAATGACTTCACTATATTATATTAGATACATAACCAATGTCCAGTTCTTTTTGTAGGGCTCATTGTAGTCGCTAGTGATGGGTTTGGGGTCATGACATCATTTTTTTCTGTAACTTCACAGTAATTAGTCATGTATGGCTCAGGTAATTGGCTCAAAACAACACGGCAGCAGAGCCGAGCGCCCACGAGAGAAGATTGCCGATTTTAAATCACATACATCAGGGGTGTCCTGCTTCTTAACTAATGGCTTTCTCCAGGTATTCTCCAGCTTTCTCCAGTCCTTGGCCTGTCAGACTTGACTATGTGAAGTATACAGTGTGGAATGTGTTCAGACACAGGCTAATAGATCTCTCTTCTCAAGCCGTGTAAGTTACGTTGGGCAGCTCGGGGATCTCTCTCCCTCCCCATTGCCCTTCAGCCTATGTGGGGTGCTGAGAAGAGTTATCAGCCTAAGTCCCTGGAGCGCTTCTGTCTAACCGCAGAGATGTGAGGTATTAGCTGAGCTCCTACAGGGAAAAAATTGCCCATGAGTACTGATCACAGCGGCTGCCAAGCATGCACAAAACTGTACTTGCACTGCAGGGCCACTGGGGGTTTTATTGTTTTAAAAACAACAGAGCTTCTTCGCGTGTAATCAGGATTTTTTTGTTACTTTTTATTGCAGGAGCTGGAGCGGATACAAGCATTGAATAGAATTCTGGAGGCGTATCTGGATTGGAAACTCCACGAACCTTTATTCTGGTGCTGGATGGTATGTCTGCTGTGTTCCACACAGGAATGAATTTGAGATTCAGACTCACGCTCCTCAAATATTCTGTTTGTTCACGCTGTCACATCGCTGTTCAGCCCCAGGTATTTATGCATGGCCGGTTCATCCAAACAGATGTGTGAGATTTTCAGCATGACCGAATTAGTTTACTTTGAAAAGTTACCAATGACGCTTAATTTAATATGTATATTACCCTACTGTTGTTTGAGAGCCAGACTGCCGGTCTGCCCTCAGTAACCTTGCCCAGCTTTGAGTTGTCACTCACAGTGATGCACTGGCGCTCCAGGACTCTGAATCTGGCAGACAAGAGCCCTCACTCATACTGGCACCTCTCCAATTTGAAATGAAGTTGTAAAGAAGTCCCCGACTAGCAGAAGTGGGTCCTGAGCACTTGGCAGGGGTTTCATTTTTCACTCGCAGTGTGCATTTTGAAGTAAAAAGGGATGTTTTAACTGCTATTCAGTTAGAGCGGTGAGCTCATGGGTGTCTTTGAGTTGGACAAATGGAGGAGGGCTTTTTGTTCTCCCTCTTCCAGCACATCATACTATTGAAATGATTACTTTTTCTTACGGTTCTTTTATGTTGAGCCTCGATATAAGTCGATATAAGACGCATCAGAATAAAGCGCATTGTGAGGTTTCAAAGAATTACAAAAAGCTCTATCAAATTGAGTTGTGGAAATACTTTAAACCCTGTTAATTCAATTTTTGGAGCCTTTTAGTGAGAAATTCAATCTAGACTTTTGAAACGCAGACAAAAGTTCCCCGGTCCAAAGAACAGGAAGAAGGGGAATGGAAATCAAATAGCATGCCCACCGCATCAATGGAAAATCTATAGTCCTTGATGAAAGCCAAACATTTTGTGGATGGAGTGCTATTTGGGCAGGATTGTTTTGTCACTGTCCACACAAGAGTGATGGAAGTGGCTCTTAAGCTTCAGCTATTGGTTGAGCCGCTGTTGATTAGCACAGGTTCTTAAAGAATTGATTTTCTTTGCGAGTGTTCGCACAAAGTCTGACTTTGAGCGAACTGGATCATCTACCCAAAACACTTTTACAGAGTTATTTTGAACATTTTGTAGCACAACTGTTTAAACAAGAAAACAATCATTATTATTGCTCATATGTAGAGTTATTAGTTTATTCTAAACTCCTTGAGGCCACACCGAAGAGGATAACTTTTATGATAACTATAACTATAAAGTTTTAATAAATGTTCAAATACATTATAGATATTATTCTTGGTGTGAAAGGGCTTTTATGCTGAATATTATTCTTAAGAAATTTTATCACTTGTTCAGACATGTGTGAAACCCTCAAATTGTATTTTTCCAATTAGTTTGGTCTTGCTTATATGAACACAACAATCACAATCTGGGACTTGTTTCATCATACAACGACATACCTCACACAGAAACGTTAAGATGAGGGAGTAGACAGTTTGCTCATATGTCACTTTTATGAATACATTTTGGTCCTTTTTGAAATGTCACTTTGTGAAAGTGAACAAAACAATGACTCAGTTGGTTCTGCTGGTAGAAATCCCAATTATTTTCTCTGTAGAGGAATTGAGTTTTAATGATTTTTCCCCATGATTCTGCAAAGAAATCTCGACCAATCAGAGAAACACTGTGAGCAAATTGTGCTTTAAAAAAAAAACCTTCAGTGACCACCCGCTCCCATGAAGCACTGCAAATTACATAATATAGTCAGTGTCCCTACAGTCTCAAATTGAATGTTTGTATTCATATGCACATTTTGCAATAAAATTGAAATGGATTGTTTCTATATGCAACATAAGCAACTTTAAATCAATGGTTCTATGTTTCTCTGTTGTTTTTAATGTGATTTATGACATTCACATATCTTCATGGCATTGTATTGTATCTTTATTTACACAGTATTGTATCTTTGTCTTTTTGTTTTGTACTTTTTTGCTTTACATCAAAGTTTGTAATGTTGGTTTGGTTCATGACCTATAATGTTTTAATTAAGTCTTTTTTAAATCCCTATGGGATTTTCAGTAAAAACTGGCTTGGCACTGTTGCACTTCAGTTTAGTTTGTTTCAAAACAAAAACAAAATATAGTGCAGGTGTTTCTGTTTTTTGCATAGCTAAGCACCACTAATTTTTCTCAGAAAAAAATAAAAAGCAAGTTGTGATTGATTGCACATTAAAGAGAAACCTGACAAAAACAAACTACACAGTATGCATGTTCTGATTGTAAATGAGAACCAGCAGCAAGCAAAGTCTTCTTATAGCTCTTTAGTAAATGAATCCAAAGACTGTATAATTCTTTTAGCAGATCTAGCTGATTTGGCATGTCTTGAGCACAGTGCATCTCAATTGTCTGAGAAGGGGTTCCTGACAGACCTGTTGCACTTATGCCTTTGTCTCTGTGCAGGACAGCGTGATCGACAGCTCCCTCACCGATGCGTCTGAGGAGGAGCCTGTCGATTGGCCACCAGAGGAGCGGGCTGTCAAGGTGAGGTGTCCCCACGGCGATGAGACCAGGAGAGCAGTCAGACAACTTGACAAGATGTTGCTAAGGCTGCAGACAGAACTGAGAGCTAGAAGAATAGAGCAATCCACTCTCACACCCACCTCACAGGTAATGACCGGCCAGCAGGTGAGATACACCGCATAAGTGCCGACGGGAGGGCTTCAGCTTATAATAAGGTCAGGATTGCACTGCTTGAAGTTTATAAAGTTTTGAAATTCAAGCGCTGTCAGTTTTGGTGCCTGAGATGGTGTCTTAAGTTTTAAGATTTCTATAAACTCAGTCCTACCACATTGATATGTTCATCACATCATCCTTTATTTCTTGTTACCTTCCAGTTTCGATTTTGAAGTACTTTTATTTTACACAGTACATGGGCAAAGAAAATATTAATTATTATTTAAAAAGTATTTATTATTATACATTTTTATATGCTCATTTTGTATGCTCATATTACTATTATTGTGGTAATTAATAATAATAATAATAAGTATATATTTTTATTAATAATAAGAGGTATTAAATAAATTACCTAAATACCTTAATGACCATAATTAAATTAAAGGGATAGTTCACCCAAAAATGAAAATTCTCTCATTACTTACCCTTGTGGCATTCCGAACCCATAAGACCTTTGTTCATCTTTGGAACACAAAGTTATTTTTGTTTGTTTTTTGCAAAAAGCATTCTCGTCACTTCATAAAATTACGGTTGAACCACTGATGTCACATGGACTATTTTGTCGATGTTCTTGGTACCTTTCTGGGCCTTGAACGTGGCAGTTCCCTTGCTGTCTATGGAGGGTCAGAAAACTCTCAGATTTCATAAAAAATATCTTAATTTGTGTTCCGAAGATGAATGGGTCTTACGGGTTTGGAACGACATGAGGGTGAGTAATTGCTGACAGAATTTTCATTTTTGGGTGAACTATCCCTTTAATAATAATCATCATTATTAGTATTCCTTTTCTTTGGGTTTCCAAAGGCACCAATTCCCCATTTGTTCTGTGCATGTGGAACTTTCCTCATCATGTTTTATTACCTGTTCAAAGGTTCTTCCAGCAGATTCGAGAGGTGTTTTAATATCTCTTATAATGAGGGAGGATAGTGCTAAAAGAATGATTAAAATCTAGGTCATCTTATCATTGCATTCTTTTATTGCCTGAATAAATTACACTTCATTGTATGAAAATTCAATATGGTTTGTCCGGTGGATAATTAGGTGGTCTTTGTGATGTGGTAGATCTAACCGGTTACGATACATGACCGCCTGCCATAGTTTCGGAGAATGAAATTTCTTCACATCAATTCTAAACACATTCCTAGTGATGCAAGAGATATACACTGACATTTCTACTCCCACGTATTGTTCATCCGGGTTACCGCAGTGTATCATTGCATTCTTTTATTGCCTGAATAAATTACACTTCATTGTATGAAAATTCAATATGGTTGGTCCGGTGGATAATTAGGTGGTCTTTGTGATGTGGTAGATCTAACCGGTTACGATACATGACCGCCTGCCATAGTTTCGGAGAATGAAATTTCTTCACATCAATTCTAAACACATTCCTAGTGATGCAAGAGATATACACTGACATTTCTACTCCCACGTACTTGTTCATCCGGGTTACCGCAGTGCCTTTCGTTTTGATATTAGTATCCATTTGATGTTTGATCAGTATTCCAGTCTGTTGAAATCACTAGTCTTAGCAAGCTCTCATTCTCATTAGGGGGGACGTCAAGGGGCTTCTCGGCTCTCTGAAAGTCAGAGAATGGAGATGGAGAAGAAGGTTTCAGGCTATTTAGAGGGTCTACGTCTTACTAACACCTCCGCAATCACATCAAGAGGCTTTTTGCCATGTATCCAGGATCCACAGCCCACAAAGCCACCTCACAGTTTCCACACCAGAGAACCTGGCCTGGCAGTGACAGCTGGGAAGCTCCAGGCATCGACGGCTCTGAATGAGCTGAGGGAGAGGGAGGCTGTACTGCAGTGGCAGCTGGAACGATTGAGGCAAAATATGAGAGTGGAAATGCAGAGACAGGCCAGCACAATGGAAGGGATGGTTCTCATCCCACCACTTAAGAGATAAACACACTTTTTGTGGCACTGTATGCACTGGGATTCTGACATAAAGCTGGACAGACTGCATTTTGAATCCCTGAGTGAGGTGAACATTAGTTTTTCGCTTTTTCAGTGGAATTAAAACTAATTAGTTACTAATTCTAACCAAATTAGAGAATGGTTTGTTATCAGTTTTTATGTATTTAAAAAGACTGCCGCAATGTGAATGTCTGTGCATGGAGAGAGAAAAAAAAGAAACTTCAAGGGCATTTCGTCTATACTTCAATACTTGCACTGAAAAATATTATTTTGACTACTGAAATGCATCAAGCCACACTCTGAAAAACAACTCTAATGACTCCGACTCAAGCAAATGGCTGACCTCTGTACTTCCGTGTACTTTGTAGTGTGCTAGAGAAAATGGAAGACATTTGAAATCATTTTTTTAGTGCATGCCAATTCTAGAGAGCAGAACAGCCTGCAGTTTTCAAAGTAGGTCATTCTTTCAGTTGCTTTCCGAACCCTGTGAAAGTTAGGATCGAAGTTTGGGAAAAAATCAAACCCCAGTAATGATTAGCAGCTCCCTGCAGAGATCTGAGCCCAGTTTTACTGAGCGGTTCATAACATGAGATGATTTCGCCTTTCAAGGCCATGTCAGTTACTACCAGCCAATTGGTGTGGTCTCAATTACATTTGGAAAGCTGTAAACAAACTAGGTGTGTGAGATAACATGAGCTGTTGGGCAAACTAAAGAAGCTGGCACAGGCTGCTGTATTAGCTGATTAAGAAAGTCATTTCCAACACCGATTTTCATTAGGATTATAAGCAGAAATCCTAATCTAGACGCTGTACAGAGCATGACGAGTTCTAAAAGGATTTTCTCTCCATTACCTTCGGCCTTCTTATCTAAAGGCTGGAATTGCTGTTTACAACTGAGGGAATGCAAACACACAGACTCGGCGGGTCCATTTCCCTGATGTTTGATGTGTGCTCTAAATGAACTAAGACTCATGTAGCTGGAATTCAAGGTTATAATTATGCTATTATCAAGAGGGTCAACCAGTGTCAAGCCAAGAACTGGTGTGGGTGGGTTCCTCGCTACCTGGAGCTCTCTGATGAATATTTCAATAATTAGATGCTGCAGATGTGTGAAATGGGTCTAAGTGACGCATTTTCTCTTTGGCATCGATGTTAATAGGTTGCAGTTTTCACACTTCATGTGTAAGGTGGTGCTGCATAGCAGAATTGTCACAGAAGTGGCTCTGCAAATAGAGTTTCAAAGCTGAACCTGCTTTTTTTTTAATGCTGATCGCACAATGAAAATGTAGTGTCACCTATTTATCAACTCTGTATTTTACAGTATGGTCTTTTAATAAACAGTTTAAAATAATGATGAAGTAAACTACTTATTTGTTTGACAAAAACACGTCTTTTGGGGTAAGTCTTTATATTTACACAATAGCCTCAGCTTAAGATAGTAAACACTCCAATCACACAAAGACTGTTTAATGCATTTGCTGACACAACTGGAAAGTACTTTATCATCTGGCAAGCTCTAATCTGATTGACTAACTATTAATAAGCAGCAAATGAGGAGTTTATTGAGGCAAAAGTCATAGTTAATGGTTTGCTAATGGTGAGAATTGGACATTAAAATAAAGTGTGACCGAATATTCAATTAATGAAATAAAGAATTGTTTTAATGTAATTCAATTTGTTCATTCCATTTATTTAACACATTCACCTGATTTGACAAAAGTTGCATTATATTCTCTGTGATATCAGGAGCTGCCTTCATTTTATCCAAAACTTTAAAAAGCAATAAATTCTATCATTATTTAATCAAAAACAAAATTTTTCCATACTTTTCCATATTGTTTGTTTCAGCATCTATCCAAACATTCAAAAAATGTACGTGTAAACGTTACGCTCAAATTCCTACGAATTATAATGCGATCAGGCTGTTTGGATTTGTAAATTATGTACCATTTGGATATAAATAAAGTCCCTTGCCTCATGTAAATAAATTTTATGATGATCAAGAGCAGTCTGTAATAGTTTCTCCAATAACCACTTTATAATTTATGCCTGTTATCAAAGGAACTACTCAATGTGGCAGCCCAGAAATCACAGTTGGCTGTCTGTGTGAGAGCTCATGTTGGCGTTGCGCTAGTGTGCTGCAGATGCAGGCCCAAAATCACTGCTGTCTGCTAGTCCTCTCAGTCAGAAGCCTGATTAGACTCGTCCCTGGAGCTCCAAAGTCATTCTTCCAGTACTCATCCAAGCCAGTCCCAGCACTCTTTACTTATTACAAAATGGCAGCTTCCATCTGGGGATGAGCATGGTACCGTAGTGCCACAAATGAGAGTGTGGCACAGACAGACAGTGTTTCCAAAGGCACGGTGCCTAATGGATGGCGACAGGGTCAGTGCGGCACCGCTGCACACTCCGCCGCTGCTCATTACGACAGGAGGCCATTAGAGAAGGCAATGCCGTGATGCCTTCGAAAGGTACTCAGCTGGAAAGAGAGAGAAAGAGACTTGAGCCATCCTTCACGGAGGTAGAGCAGACCGCTTTACCCTTGAGGACCCTGATGTACGATGGGACCTTGCTAAGTACCCACAGTGCAGAACTACAGAGCGTTTTGCAAGAATCGCCTTGGAATGTGTCTTTTTAATTGGCTAAATTGTGTCTCTTCTCTTTGCTGTGTGTTGCAAGCAGGGGGCAGAGGGTCGAGAGGGCATGACTTCGAGTTTTCTCTGAGATCTTGAACGGTGTGTGCGAGCGGAAAGATGCATCAGACTAATTAATGAAGCCGAGGTGTTTGGTACACAGGGATGACGACTGGCTTTCATCTTCTTTCAAAGGTGTAAGAACACAAAAGCCATCTAACCGTCAGTGCCGGATGTAGTGACAGCGAAAAAATGAAGAGTTTACCGCAGGCGGAGGGTTTGAACCCTTCATAAAACATGGAATATAGCAGCTCAGGGATATAATGCAGATAAGAAAGTACGTCAGGATGGAAAAATGTTTATGAGTTCATCAAATACAGACGCACGAAGCATGATTTTTTTGCAGATGGTGCTTTATTGGGAGCTTCTAGCTAGAACATGTATCGCCATGTTCTGATATTGTAGTGCAAGAAGTTTTCAAACTGGGGTTCAGGGACCCCCAGGGGGCCACAAGAGGATGCTAGGGGTGTGTGGAAATTTGAGAGAGAGAGTGAAAATACATTTACAAAAGTAACTTTCAAAGTTAATATTTGCACTTTATAATACCTTTATATAAAATATAAACTTTATAGTATTATATTATAATATAAATGTATAATATTTTTATATTTAATTTTTTTTTAATAATTGTACAGATTCACTAATGTTCAAAAGTTTGGGGTAAGTATTTTTTAAAGAAAAATACATTTTATTTAGAAATTATTTTTTTGCAGCAAGAATGCATTAAATTGATTAAAAGCAACCGTAAAGACTTTTTGTGTTTGTGACTTATTGTTACAAAAAATTCTAATTAGAATAAAAGAGAATATTAGAATATTCTTTGAACTTTCTATTCATCAAAGAATCCTGTAAAAAGTATCACGGTTTCAACTAAAATATTAAGCATCACAACTACAGTAGTCAACATTTGAAGTGGATCAAAACAGTTCATCAAAGTTGTCCTAAGACAAGAACGGGTGTTGTTTTTGTTTTAGGACAACTTTGATGAAAGGTTTTGATCCACTTCAAATGTTGACTACTATATTTTCAGCATTGATAATTATAAGAAATGTTTCTTGAGCGCGGAATCTTCATATTGATTTCTGAAGTATCATGTGACACTGAAGTCTGGAGAAATGGCTGCCGTCACAGGAATATTTTTGTTGTTTACATTTTAAAGTATATTAAAATAGTAGTAATATTTCACATTATTACTATATTTCTGTGTTTTGATCAAATAAATGCAGTCTTGGAGAGCATAATAGAGGTCTTTCAAAATATGAAAAAAATCTTATCAATCTCAAACTTTTGAATAGTATTGAAATTAAGTAATTTTGAAATAATATTTTAACAATTGCTTTAGTCAAATAATAATGCAAAACCTAATTATTGAATTTAGTACACCTTTATTTTATTTTGTTGTCTATACATCACTGTATCTTTATAATAAAAGGTTACAGTTTTCTCACAGTATGTAATGGATTTGTATACATGCCAACAATATTTTACTCACATTGAGATCATCTTTTTGGGGGTCTTTGTCCTCATAGTTAAAAACCCCTGGTCTTGTACACAGTATGACCAATATAACCTCACAAGTGTGGCTGAATTCAAGGCTTCAAACCCCTCAGAACGGAAAGGCGTGAGGTGCATTATTAAAGCACTGACCCAAAAAGTGTTCGGTAGTCTAAGAGAATGGGAAAGCACTGGCTATATCAGGTCTACTTGAGGGGCGTTGAGAAATGAGACTCCCATGTGTCTGGTTCAGCTGCTATCCAACATATGTCTGCATTGGTGCAGTAGACTTATAGAGATGTAAGTAGCTGTTCTTTATTGATCCCAGAGGGAATGTTTCCTAACAGATGCCTCTTTATAAAGGTCAGTATTATCTCCATTAATATATTTCTGCACAAAAAACTTTAAAAATGACTGGAAAATCAATGATGGATAGTATGTGACATTTTTGGGTTTCAACTGGGCCAAGAATTCTTCTCATTCTTCTTTTTGTATTACAATCCCCTGGAAAGTCAGTTACACTGCAAAAAATGATGTTTTGTTTTCTAATACAAATATCTAAACATTGTTAAATCAAGATACATTCACTTGAGAAGCAAAATGACTTAAGATATTAAGTTTTAGTTTGTTTTTGCTTAAAAAAAGAAAAAATATCTGCCAGTAGGGTCAGAAAAATAATCTTAGGCCTATGTCCCCTTTGAATTAAGTTTATTTTTATGACTGCACAGGCAGATTGTTTCGAATAGTAATGAAGATTTAATATTTAAGAAACAAGACTTAAGAATTATGATTTAAGAATATATAGATATTTGTACTGGAAAACTAGACAAAAATACTGAGGAAGAACATATTTTTTTGTAGTGTAGGGAGACCAGAGCTAGTTATGACACTTTACTTTTTACTTTATATTTATTGATTTACCAATTAATATTTTGAAAGTAGGGATCTGCACACCTTAAAGTCTAGCCTGACAGAAAAAAAAAACTATTGTCAACCCTAAAGTCAAGCATATGTAAT